GAATTTTAAGGGTTATAACATGGCCTGGTTCATGGTTTAAGAAACAAAGGATAAAGGCTCAAATTTTATTTATACCCAACCCGCTCTTCATGATGTTCTTCAATCCTATGCTCAGCTAATTGTGCATTTAGATCCCAATTGAGTTTGGAATCTTTGCTCTGATACTTGGTGATGGTTCAAAAATTGAACGTTTGTTCGAGAAGGCGGTCATTTTTGTAACCTTTTCTTTTTTTGTTGAGGATTTGTAGGACCTGTTTTTTTGTTTTTGTTATCCCTATTTTTTCCTGAACTGTTTCTTTTGTGATTACAGTCAGCGGGATGCCCCAATTTTTTTCTTAAGTCCCCTTCATAGGTTTTGACTTAGCGGGCTTTTTATTTTGAAAGATAATGACTTCCTGTCTTGACGATTATGAGGAACCATCACCATCTTCTGGAAGGCATCTTCTACACTATTTATTGTGTATGAAGGATGAGCATGCGATAAAATGCACATCTGAATTAACTGAGAAAACTACCCTGCCCCAGGTTATGATTAAGGGTTTTAATTTTTATGAAAATAAAAACTCCTACTTCTTAGGCTCAAAGGGATTGACTAGGGATTATCTTCCTTATAACTCCAATGCTTAGGATTTGAAACAACGCATGTACATCGTCAGCGGGGTTTGTTCAAAAAGCATACTGTAGAGACTGTGGTATCGTTTTCGTCATCCTCCTCTAAAGGCTTAGAGCATTTAATCGAGATTGAATATCACAGTAATAAAGCAGTTTGAATATAATGAACATGAAATATTTCAAGACCAACATATGCAATGCATTAATGGGAAAACCAAAGTTTGACATAACAATAATTGTTTGAACAAGCAAAGGAAATTACAATTGAAAAATCACAAATGAAATGGACGCTCTCAATGATTTGGCCTAGGAGCATGATCACATGGTGAGTCTCTAGAGGGTCGAATTCAATCTCCTTGGCGTCAATCATATCCTGAATTTTGTTCTTCAGAGCCCAGCATCCATTCGTATCATGTCCAGGACTATCAGAATGGTATGCACACCTTTCGTCAGGGTGGTAGCTAGGAGAAGAGGTATTAGGATTCCGCAGAGGAGCCTTTAACGTAATCAATCCTACTTTCAACATGTGTTGTAACGCTTGAGCTAGTGACATGTTGATTTTGGTGAATTGTCTCTTATGCGCGACCTCCTTATGCCGATTCCCTTGTTGATGTCGTTGCACAGGCGTATGATTAGAGACCAGTACTGCCCCTACAGATGGGTTTTGGTTACCTCTAGCACGTCCCTCCTGACCATACACAACATTAGCTTCCCAAATGCCACCGAATGGTTTCTTCTTAGCATTAGAAGGTGCATCCATTGGAATCTTCCCACTCTTAATACCGCTTTCGACTCTTTCACCTGTCAGTATCAGCTCGGTGAACCCAGCCGAAGAACTTCTAATCAAGTGGTTGAAGAATGGACCAGACAAAGTTCCCAAGAACATATCTACCAGATCTCGATCAGTTAGAGGAGGTTGCACCCTGCCAGCTAAGTCTCTCCATTTCTGTGCATATTCCTTGAACCCCTCTCTTGAACCTATGGACATATTCTGCAATTGCACTCGAGTTGGTGCCAGGTCAGAATTGTATTGGTACTGCTTATAGAAAGCAGAAACCAAGTCTTCCCAGGTATGGATGTCAGTTCCTTCTAACTGATAGAACCACTCCAGTTGAGTGCCGACCAAACTTTCTTGGAAGAAATGGACCCATAGCTTCCGTTCAGCAGTGTGAGGCTGGATCTTTCTGACATATGATCTCAAGTGAAGTTTAGGACAAGAGACCCCGTCATATTTAGCAAATGTGGGAACCATGAACTTTGGTGGGATGACCACTCCAGAAACCAGCCCTAACTCTTCAAAGTCCAAGCCAGGAACCCTCTGAATTTCCATGGCGTTGAGACGATCCTCCAGCTGTTTGTATTTATCATCAGCAGAAGGATATTGTTCCTCAGAGTAATCAGCTTCATCTTCATCAGTCCCCGGGTTATCATCATCTTCATGATTATCCCCATCATTTGATGGAGTTGAGAGATCTAGAGCTCTGTTGGATGGTCCTCTGAGTCTTCTTTCCAAATTCAAAACACCAGCTGGTTTCTTCGCCTTCTTCTTCTTCTCTTTGATGACAAGAGCTTTCAGTTCTTCCTGCCCCTTAGCCAGAGCCAGGAACATTTGTTAGAACTGAGCATTTTGAGCTTGAAGGTCTTTGATTGTTTGTTCAAGAGCCATTTCTTCTTGCTGAAATAAAAAATGAAGGGATAAGAAACATGTACAGAGAATACCTGTTATGCAATGACATGTATGATATGTAAATGTTTTCGAGGATCTCGCGGGTTAAACAAGAAAATGTCAGAAGTTGAATTTTGCAGCTTTGATTGAAGAACTTCGTATCGTTGAAGGTCCTTCTACGAGAGTCAAGCTCACCATGTCGAATGGGTCATCGCCCCTTGTTGTACCCCAAAATTTTCCCTTCCATTTTTCATTCAAGATACTATCCTAGGGTTTCTCAAGTACTCAATTTGGCTCAGAAGTTTATCAGACAAATTCTCTCCCTAGGTTGTAAGTCAACAATTAGGGTTTGGTATTTCTCAAAGAAAATTGAGTCTTCAAGGTTTCAAATGGTCTTCATAGATCTTCATGTCTCCTCAAGGATGTTCGTGCCAAGTTTCAAATCTCCCATTGCAAGTTTGCTCAGTCAATGGTTCAGATGACTGAAAATGACTCCATTGACCCAAAAGTCGACCTTTGTGAGATCAAGTTCAAACGATTGTAACTTCTTCATTAATCGATATTTTTGAACAGTTCTTTTTGCGTATGACTCTCCTTGACGTCATCTTTAACTTCTCTTTACAATTCAATAGCCGATTATGTGCGAAAGATCATAAAAAATTTGAATACTTTAGAGGTCGCTTTCTGGATTCTTGACCTAATCTTAAATAACTGTTGCCTAACTTCCATGAATCGTAATTTCCTCAATTCTCAATATTTTAAGACGATTCTTTTGCACATGGTCATAAGCGATATCGTCAACAAGTTTGCTTCAAGAATCGAAGGAAACTTGTGTTTAGAAGACCTTGAAAGTTGTTGAATTGTCATAGGTCATTTGCTTGAATTTTGAATGCTCTTTTGATTCATGCCATAATTGTTTTCTCAGGACTACATTGTTGAAATTGCTCTTGGAACAAGATGTCGAGTTCGGAGATTCATGTTGAGTTCGAACGAGATGTTTCCTATAATACAAGTCTCTGTGTTGAAAATTGATCTAGGATCTTGGTGATAGTAATCTGAACAACGGTTTTGGATTTCAATTCAAGTTAGCAAGGCACTACAAGTTTCGTCCAAATTTTCTATTGTTCATTCGCACGACTCATTGTGTAAATAACAAGTTTTGATTCAAGTTCTTAAGATCATGATTTTATCAATATTTGATTCAAGGCTAAAAAAAAGTCATTCATGTGATTCATTGGTATATAAAGTATAAATGAACAAAGGAATATATTTGTCAAGATACAAGTATCAAAGATACATTCATTCAAGTTTTACCCATGCTTCATTCATGAGAAAACTCATTCAAGGGATATATCACTCATCATGGTTTAAGATTGCTCATTTCAAGATTATCCAAAAATTTCATGAAAATTCTTTCAAACTTATCAAAGATACATTCATGGCAATTTTTATCCATCAAGTTCTATCAAGTGTTTATCCAAATGTTAAGTAATTTGCAAGAATTATTCATCACTTCAAGATATTACAAGAGAATTATACAAGTTCCTATATGAAATCCATGTCCTAAACCTATGTTACATTCATAAAAAATGTGTACATAAAACAACATAATTTGTGGACCACATAAACTCTATCCTAATCAACCCCAAAACTTGTCCAAATTAACCCCACAAGTTGTCAAAATTGTCCATTGCACTGCTGCCCAACACCTGTTACATAAACCTATCAAACATGTTCACAAACCAGCCCATAAAACTGTCAAAACAAGCCTTGCTACCTTACTGCAAAACAAAGCCTTGTTTCTGTCCCAAAACCTACTACTTCCCTGCAAAACCAGCTACACAGTTTTCATAATAATACCAAGGAAGTCAGTCCAAAACTTGTACCAAACAGTCCAAAGTTTGCATAAATTCAGCAATACAAAAACTGCAACCAAAAAGCAATGAAATAGTGTCTAAAATTGTTCAAATTCAACTCATTTCCCTCCCAATACAACCACTCATGATGCTATAAAACTAGAAGACAATAGAAAGAAAAAAAAAGAGGGGAAGACAATGAGACCAATACACTTACAGAAAAGCTACACAAAGAATTGATTCCAAAAACCTCTCTTTCATATTTTTCTCTTTTCAAAATATCAATAACATCTTTTTCTCATTTTTTCTAGCTGTTAATCAGATAAAAACTCAACAAGTAATTATTCAGAAGAAAGAGAAGATTTCATATCACCTTTGGTTTTTGTTGCTGAATTTGTCGGATGCATCGAATCTGCTCCAAATCCTATAAGTTTTCCCCTTTCTGTCTTGTAAATATGCTATTGTTTTGTTTGTTTATGTTGCTACTATTCTGCTATTATTATAAATATTAAAACATGGAGAAAAAAGAACAGTAATGTAAAAATCAACAAAAGGAAATTGTTCTATTTTTCTCCATCTCCAACAATCATCATCACCATAAACTCTCATCAATCTATACTTTTTCTTCTTCTTTCTTTCTCTTCATTTGTGCATCACCATGATCTTCCAATATCACATCATAACTCACGGCCTCCTCCCCGTTACAATATAGCTTTCGAACCTGCTTCATCACAAACTACCACACTTATGTTACTGCTCTTATCCTTCTTCTTATTCACTATCACAAGTTTTCTTTTATAACCTACAATAACAAATAACAATAACAGTCCAAGAGTCAAAACAGTTCCAAATTTTACCTTTTGTGAATGATGTGCTTGCTTTCCGCAAATCCTGTAACATTTGAAACTTTCAAGTCAGTTGAAACTCCCATACACTCGAAGATATTGAGTTTCGTCGTGACGGCACTGGTATGTGGATCTGTGCTACCATTAACCCCAACTTTGAACAATTGTCTCTCTCAATTTCCTACTACCGTGGGAATACGGACATGCTTTTGAACAACCTCCATCCGCGCCAATCCATTATCACCATCCGTAACCCATCAAACCCAGCGCCAAACTCCCTCCGTTTGTTTCCAGCCGCAACACTGTCAACCAAAAATACTTCCCTAAGAAAAATTCAAAAGAAAAAAAACACCATGTCCCTTGAAGACTCTCTGAGATCTCTTTCTATTAGCTAAACCTCCTAATCAACGAACAAGCCTTTAGCAACGTCATTTTCAGCAACAAGGAGTCTCTTCGTCAGAAATTCTTCTGTGGCCCAGACCCACCTTCTGGACGCGGCAAGCGAGTCAACTCAATAATGTTGGTCTGGTGTCCCACCACTTAACTCAGTTGGTTACGAGGTTTTCTTGATGATGCTTCAGTTTCTCTACAGTGGTCAAGTTTCTATTGTTCCTCAGAAACATAAGCCTAGGCCTGATTGCAGCGACCGTGGCTGTCGGTATACGCTTTGTACGTCATCTGTTGATCTCACTCTTGACACTCTCTCTTCCGCGAAATACTTCGGCATTGAATGGTTACATTGCTTAGAAACAACTTGCAAGCATGGTGAAGAAAAAAAAACTTCCATTTGAAGATGTAATGAAGGTGATGACGGTTTAACAGGCAGAGGGAAAAAGGGTTGTTTTTATTTTCTGTCGTTTCAATTGTTTCTTTCCTTTAATTGTTTTGTTGTTGGAAACAACAATAATATTTAATTCTATTTTTTTTCTTCCTTCCCAATACAACAACAAAACCAGCGGCGCTACTTTGCAATATTAGGGTTATTTTTTCTTTTCCTTTTCTAAATCGGGTCAGTCCATTGGGCCACTGGCCCAATATCCATTACTGTTTTCCCCTTATAATTCAATTAAATCATAGAATAATAGATAAAAAATACAGTTCAGTTGGTAACGCATCATTGGCTTTATCCTAGAGGAACCAGGTTCAACCCTTCCTGAGGCTTTGTTTTCTATTTTTTTATATTTCTTTTAGATAATAAAATTGGTTTAATCTTTAGTTTTGACTTTAAAATTCAATTAAACAAAAGTTATATAATTTCAAGATTAGTTAATTTAGGACTTTGTAAATAATTTTGTCAAGTTTTTTTTATAATTCAATAAACTTTCTTTTAAAATATTTAGTTTGTATATAATAAAATTCAAATAATAATAGATTCTTTATTTTTCTTTCCAAATTCCTAACAAACAAAATACCAAGAATTTTATTTCCATACTTTGTTAATTAATTTTTACTTCATAGATTGTTGTAGTTTCAATTAATTGCTCGATTCGATTTAGTTGTATTGATTGCCTATTTGGACTTTTAATCGCAATGATCCATCCCCATTTGTGAATTTGTACCCCCGTTCCTGAAAGCTCTGTAATAGCATAGAATTCTAATTTCTGCAATTTACTATTTCCCTTATATTGTATAGTAATTAGGTGTGCATGGCAAGATTTAAAATCAACTGCTAGATAACCCTAATCAAAGAACAACTTAACTTGAATCAAACACACTTTCACACGCGCACCTCTAGGATAACCTCGCTTGTTGCCTCGGAAACACAGTCATGTCTGTAGAATATGGGACGCTTTAGCAAAGACCCTTCGATAAAAAAAGATCGTAGTCCCTCGATGTTGCCTTCGGTAAAACGATCTAGTCCCTTACGAAAAATTGCTAAAGCGTCTCACAAGTTGCCTTCTATGACTGTACAATTGACCCGCACCTGTCCTTTCACATCCAACGATGGGGCTTCTTACCAAATCAATGGTAAAATAGTAACATCTAAAGGAGGAGGAAAAAGAAAATTTAAGACCTTTTGAGTAGGTAGACTCACTCCTAGTTGCTCGCTTGCTCACAACAAAAACATTTTATACACCAACACTCTCATTTTGAAACATTTTCAAAAGACAACACTTTGTACGTGTTCTTATAGAAATGAGAGCCATTACAAAGACACCTTTTTAAAATCACTTTCAAAAACACATTCCACAAACACCTCTTTGAACTATTTTCGAAACAACACTTTGTACGTGTAACGCCCGTAATTTAATTAATTATTTAATTAAATTATTTTTGGAATATTTGTGAAGTTGTGTTATAATTAATTGGATTTAATTATATTATTAAGTTGTGAAATAATATTAGAAGTATAATATTATTATTTGATGTGGGCTTGTTTTTAAAGGAATAGAAGTAATAAGGGGGTGTATTGGTTTTAAGCCCAATAAGGAGTAAATAGAATAATTGGGTTATTTTATTGTTGTTAGAAGGAATAGAAAGAAAGAAGCAGTAAAAGAATAAGGATTGAGAGGAGAACGTGCAAACTCTTGGAAAAGTGGAAAACGGCAAGAACAAGAATTCAAATGGAAATTATAGAGCGACCTTCAATCCAAGGTAAGGGTGGGGTTCTGACTCTATAATTGGGTTTATGATGATTGGTATATGGGGTTAGAGATGATTGTTGTCTTGTTATTGAATTGAGAATATATGATTGATGTATGATGAGAATTGATGAGTTTTGATGAATATTGATGTCTTGATGCTGTTAAAATGATGTAGAATTATAAGGTAATTATGGGTGATGAATTGTCAGGATTAGATTAAGTTTTAGGGCTTTAGGTATGAATTCCGTAGTGAGTTGCAATGATGAAAAACGCAGGATGTTGCAGAAAGAACGCAGAATTTGGCAAATTGATATCAGGCGCTACTATATTAGAATTAATGAATTAATTTGGAGAATAGAATTGTCAATACTGTTCTTAGTTAGGTTGATATCAGGCAAAGAATTAGAACAATAGGATGAATAGAAAATAACAATTCTGTGGTTAGACGTAGGTTGTTAGAAGTTGCGTGGCTTAGTGAAAGGTATAAGTTCTTATGTTAGAAGTTGCATGGGTTAGAAGCTATCCTGTCAGAGGACTGTGTCATCAGAAGTTGCATTAGTCAGAATTTGTAGCAGTCAGAAGATGGGGTTAGTCAGAAGCTGTGATGATCAGAAGTTGTATCTAGTCAGAGGTTGGGTTAGTCAGAAGCGGCGATGATCAGAAGTTGTATCTGGTCAGAGGTTGGGTTAGTCAGAAGTTGTAATAATCAGAGGTTGGGTTAGTCAGGAGTTGCATTAGTCATAAGTTATAGTAGTCAGAAGATTGTGTCGCCCAGAGGTTGTGTCATTAGAAGCTATGTTATTAGAGATGGTGTTGGTTAGAGGTTGCATGGTCAGAAGCTCGAATGGCCTTTACGTTGTTTTCGAACAGAACGATGAACGTTAGATGCTTAGAAGCTGTTGTTTGAGCAATAACAGTAGGATAGTGTCGGTCTTGACGTTAGAGTTACAGAATGACAGTGTTGATTTACTGTGGAAATTAAATACAATTGAGTTGTTAGTGAGAAGTTATTAATAATATTGTGTTGATGATTTATAATAAATAAATGATGTTTGATAAATTATTTTGATGATCTGAGATGTTGATTAATTGAGATGTTTTTGAGATGTTAATTTGAGATGTTTTTGGGATGTTAATTTGAGATGTTTTGAGATGATTTGAGATGTTGTAACTTGGGTGTTATTATTACATTCATGGTTGTGTCGCATACATTGAATTTTTGAGATGGAGCTTATGCTCGTTGAGATGGCCTGTATTAGCGAATTTTGAGAGGAAGGCTATGCCTTGTTGATGCCTCTATTAATTGGAAAAATTTTGAGATGGGAGTTCTGCTTCAATGGTACCACATGCATTTGCATAGTATTGAGTCTCATTATATGATTGTTTAGAGAAGTGTATTTTGATGTTGATGAATGCGTATATGCATTGTAATTATTGTTGATTATGAGATGAGAAGTGGTGATGTTATTGATCTAATTTGATATATTAATTATCATGCGCTTTATTATATTGTTGGATATATAACCCCTTCTATTTGAATGTTGCCCTTATGTTGGTAACGTGTAGGTAATCGAGAGTGAAGGCTGTATTCCTTCAATAGTTCGAGTCGGTGTCATTGCTCTGATATGTAACACTCGGGGGGATGAACGCTTGTTGTTTTTGATTGTTGATTTTCAGTTGTTGAACTTTAAATTGATTATTATTAAATATGTGATGTTTTGAATTTGTTGTTTTGTTGTTAGAGATGTTATTAAGAATTCCACTACGTAGATGCTGAATTATTTGATTAAAGATATTATGTTGATGGTTCACCCTATGTTTTAAAAAGTGTTATATATCCACGATGAATTAATGAATTTTGATAGAAGAATTTGTGACGTCCTGATTCGTTTGTATGATTGAATTTTATAACTCTGATTTATTTATATAATTTGTCGGGGTAGAATTGGGGTGTTACAAAGTTGGTATCAGAGAAAAAGGTTGGTCTGACCTCGTCGTCGAGTCGTAGTTGTCTAACAGTTGAGTATTGTTATTTGAGTTCTAATCGTTGTTTATGTTGTAGTGAGAAGTTGAGATGGCTGGAAGGAATGATGCTGCACTTGCTGCTGCTTTATAAGCAATGGCTCATGCGATGAAAATCAGCCGAATGTTGACAGGAATGCTGGATCTCGTAGCTTGGCGACCTTCCAAAGAGAGAATCCACCTACGTTCAAGGGAAAGTATGATCCTGACGGAGCATTGGAGTGGTTGAAAGAGATTGAGAGAATCTTTCGCGTGATGGACTGCACTCCAGCGTAGAAGGTTCGTTATGGGACTCATATGCTAGCAGTCGAGGCTGATGACTGGTGGCTAGAGACTTATCAGAAGTTAGAAGCTGCATGTCAGAATGTCACTTGGGCTGCGTTCCGTAGGGAGTTTTTGAGAAAGTATTTTCCTGAAGATGTCTGTGGTAAGAAGGAAATTGAGTTCCTCGAGCTGAAGCAAGGAAGTATGTCTGTTGTTGAGTATGCTGCCAAGTTTGCTGAGTTGGCCAAGTATTATCCGCATTACGCTGAGGAAAATGCTGAGTTTTTGAAGTGTATTAAATTTGAGAATGGGTTGCGCCCGGAGATTAAGAAAGCAGTTGGATATCAGAAAATCCGTGTCTTTGCTGATTTGGTTGATAGCTGTAGGATTTACAAAGAGGGAAATAATGCTCATTACAAGATTATCAGTGAGAAGAGGGGTAAGCACCCACAAAATCGTGGTAAGCCTTATGATGCCCCAACTGGTAAATGTAAACAGAAAGTTTCTCATGGTCAGAGGACTAGTGGGGGAGATGCTCCTGCTGGTGTGGTTTGTTTTAAGTGTGGGAAACCTGGACACAAGAGTAATGTGTGCACTACTGAAGTGAAGAGGTGTTTCTGTTGTGGCAAGAATGGACATGTTGTATCTGAGTGTGAACACAAGAATGTGGTTTGTTTCAACTGTAAAGAAGAAGGGCACATTGGTAGCCAGTGTCCGAAACCGAATAAGGCTCAGTCAAGTGGAAAAGTATTTGCTTTGGTTGAGGATCAGACAGCTGCTGAGGACGGACTTATTAGAGGTACATGTTTCATTAATAATACTCCTTTAATTAATATTATTGATACTGGTGCTACGCATTTTTTTATTGCTGCTGATTATGTTGAAATATTGGGTCTTATGTTGTCTTCTTTGGATGGAGA